CCTGACATGATTTTACTTTTTTTTTGAAATTTATTGATTTAAAAAAAATATCAAACAATGTAATAATCTATTAAAAATAATATGATAATGTTACTATTACAGGCTTGGTCGAGAAGTGGGTGCGATCGCACTTGATAACTGACCACGGAAATAATATTTAGTTGCGAAAAACCGGCCAGATTTTTTAGTCATTTTGAGAACATTTAAGTTTATGTATGTTTCCTTGTTTGTCCGCAAAATAATAAGTTCATTTTATCGTAATTTTTTACATAATCTGTTTTACGGACTTACTTGGAAACATACATAAACTTGAATGTTCTCAAACATCTTATTGCGGAAAAATAAAAAAAGAATATTCGCGAACACAAAAAACCCACAAAATCTATGAACAACTAATTCTAATGGTTCCAAAGATACTAACCGAAATTTCTAGAGTATTTAAAAAATACTAACCGAATGTCCTGAGTATTCTGTTGAAATATTTTTCAAAATTGTGTTATTTGAATTTTGTTACGTTTTCGTGAGATTTACTAGCATAAATTATTTTAAGAATATACTATCAAACGAACTATTATTTTAATTCTTAGAGCCACATCTACAAAGCCATAAATGTTTTAAACTAACATTATTTGTTTACAATAATAAATGTTTAGAATTATTATTTTTTAACTTGTTAACGTTTTGTAAATATATTATAGATTTTATTAGTATATTCTTATTTTTTATATATAAGGGATGTATTTTTTATGTATGTAATGTATTTTTATGTATGTAATGTAATTTTATCTATGTAATTTTATGTATGTGTATTTTATTCAAATGTAATCTTTTAAAGCAATTTATGCGATTGATTTTGTAAACAAAAATACTTTCAATAATAACTGCGTTTTCAATGAAATTATTAATAATCAACCCGATAACTGATTCTTTCCCCCAAGAAAGAAAAGTTTTTAAGTTCTTAGAAATTGGTTTACTAACTTCAATTATTTTTGCTTCAGCCATTCTTACAAACTCGTTATACTTAAAGTTACTTTTTTCTGTTTTAAATACTAATTAAAATTATATAAGCCCACTCACTAAACATCAGCGTTATTGTGAAGCAATTCCGCTTCCTCCTCACAAAGTATTTTAACGTTTTTAGTTAATTACTATCTAGCTAATTGAATTTATAGAGTAACTCAATGATTTAATTATTTCATTTGTTCATCTTACTAAGAAGAATTGTTTCAAATGTGTTAAACTTTTTAAACTACACGAAACATAAAACAATTATTGAAAAAAAAAATTTATTTATAAATAAATCATCTTGCGTTAGTTTTATTGGTTGAATCTTGTTGGACTTTTCAGGGCCGGGAGCTGCATTATTTTGGCGGCTTTTTTTATGTGTCACAGCATAAAAATGACTAAAAAAATACCGAATGGTCCTCTTGACTATTTCCCCTAACATTATGAGTCCCGGGGCTATAGCCCTACTACCCCCACCCCACCTCCTCAATCCGCAACTGGAAATAAGGCATAAGTATATGAATAAAAATTATATATATACTCTGATAAATTGAAGAACATTTGTTTCTTTATAGTTGTTACTTTATATAAAAAAAAAATTATAAAAGAGCGATGTTTCAAAAATAATTGCTCTAATAAATTTATTTTGCTTAAAGTTTTTTCGCGTTAAAAGCTATTTTCCTTTTTTTAACTGTCTCTCATTGGTACAGTTAATCTTATTGCGCTTTTTTGTTTGTTTTTGAAATGTTCTCAAAACAACTATAAAATCTGGCAGGTTCTTCGCAACTAAATATTATTTCCGTGGTCAATTATTGAGTGCGATTGCACCCGCTTCCTGACCAAGCCTGTATCAATGTAATAAATCTAAATCCAAAAGTCAAGGATTAAAGAGATGTAAGAAAAAATTTGTAAAAAATTCTTTTTTTAAGTCTTAATTTTATCTTTTTTTAAGCATTTGACTAAGCCTTGTGGTGGATTAAAACCGCGTGAAAGTAAAACTCGATTGGCATTTTGTTTAAAAAACCTCGGTTGGCACTTTGTACCATGGCGATATTTATCATATATAAAAAATGAATTTCTGTTTTTGTATGTTTGATCAGCAAAGTTTTTTCTCAAAAAGACTTATGTCAAGAAAGTTGGAAACTAAGTGTTTAAGGACTTCACAAAAAAACGAAAGTTTGTAATTTGTGAACGATTTTTTTTCTTTCGTTAGCGAAGTCGGTTCTGTGTCAAAGTGTTAGGATCAAACTTTTGATTAACATCTTTACATATGTTGTTTATATACAATATCTATAAAACTTTATAAGTATTTGAATTTGTATTTAAAAAAATCTAAAAAAATTTCAAAAAAATAGTCGTCACTGGTAGGACTCGAACTACGGCTATTTTGTTTCAAAGCTCAGCGCGCTAACCACTCGACTACGCTGACACGATGAACATCGGAGATTTGAAATTATATAAAAATTGTTTTTAACGGATATAGATGCAAAAGATCAGAAATTAAGAAGAGGTTGACGTAATGCAGTTCTTAAGTGAAAATCAAACTGTAGAACTTGATATATGTTTAAGCATGTTTTAACATTACATAACATGAAGTCTAGGTACGTACGGTATAAGTTTCACGTTTGCTCACGTTTTCTTATAAAGCAAAGGTGAGACTCTTTCTCATCACTACCTCGGATGCAATGGTTGCCAAGAGTATCGTGTCAAACAGGCTCGAAAGCGCACTACTACTATTAAGTTCAGTATTATTAAAGAGATACAGTAAAATGATGCAACTTGATGAATAAGAAGCCAAGCAAGAATGAGTTTTGGTTTATTGTAATAGAGATGATAGCTTGCTTAAGCATTGATCATGATTAGAGAAGCAGCATAAAAAAGGAAGGCTAAAGCCTGATGATGTCATCAATCATCAGCTGCAGCAGATGATGATGATGATGATGATGATGATGATGATGATGATGATGATGATGATGATGATGATGATGATGATGATGATGATATTGATGATAATAATGATGGCAGTGATGAATATAATAATAATAATGATGATGACAATTATGATGACAATAATGATGATGATAATCATGATGATGATGATCATGTTGATCATAATGATGTTTATAAATGCATATATACAAAATCAAACAAGTTTTGAAGAAAAAATTTGTACTTTAGGATGTATAAATGTTTATGCAGCTCTGGTTCCCAGCCTTATTTTGTTGTACTTGGTCCCGGTCAAATATCAACCCTGGTCGTTTATTATTTATAAGTCTATTTTACACTGAAGTTTTCTATACTTTTTTCTTTTATATATATTCTAATTTTCTGGACCCATGAATTACGGGTCATTACCAAATCTACCATTAATATACTTATCTATTTCACACCGATCATTTCTATACCTATTGTATGTTTACTTCAATATTTTTACGTAAATAATTCATTTTAAAAATTTGCTTTAAGAGCAAAAAAATTTATAATAATATTGCAGTTAATTATGATTTTATAATAGCGTTATTATTTTATAATAGTATAGCAGAACTAAGAAGATCTTAGACCATTAAAAACTATAGACTATAACACGCTAAGGGATTGCCCATAAATTATGTAACACTGAATTTATTTTTAAAAAAGTAGAAGAAGATCTTCAGTTCTTTAGGATGGTGGTTTTCATTAATGTTAATGAGCTATTTTGATTTTTTATTTAACATACAACTCTCTTAGGAATAATTTATGGATGATCCCTTATTTAAAAGTTTAAATTAGGGCCAAAAAGTATATAAGGCCAAAAAATATAGTACTATTTTGATGGTTATCTAAATTCTGTCTTTGTTGCGCACTCAGTTTAGAATGTTTAACGGGGGCGTGGTAAAATAGTTCTAAAACTCTAAATTTTTATTGTATCAATATTTAATAACTACAACTTTTAATTATTAAAAACTTTTAATTATTTTTATTAAAAGTAATTAATTTAATTAAATGGTTTAATTAAACCATAAAATTAGAACTTTCAATTATGTTCTTATATATAACATTCTTTTCAAACCCCCTTACTGTTTTGAAAAAGTTAAGGTTGCCTAGTTACAAGTTCAAATCATCAGCCTGCTTAATTTTTTAATTTTTGTTATTTAAAATGCAAAACAAAACAATTTAACAGTTCTATAAATTTTATATTCTATATACAAACATGTTGTATATTCATTTTTCTTGCACAAACTCTACTTGTAAAAAAACTTAAAATGTAAAACTAAAATAACATGAGTGTCTTGACCATGACATATACGCAACAAATATCCCTCTGTTTTTTAATGTTTTTAGATTTTTTAGTTTTTTAAAAATCTTTTCATTTCTTTAAGTGTATAATATCGTTAGATATGTTTGTATATAATCTTTAAAAAACTTTACAAATATTGTGTATTTTAAAAAATTAAAAAAAACAAAAAAAAAGCCGCAGATGGTTGGACTTAAACCTCTGCTTTTATTATTCAGAAGCTCAGCGCGCTAACCACTCAGCCATGGTGGCACGTTGAATATCAAAATTTTAAAACTATATACAATTTTTTTTAAACAGAAATAAATGCTGTAGATCAAAAATTAACGAGAAATTTATGCAATGCAATTTTCCAACTATTCAATGTTATATAGATGTTTATCCAACTCTTATTTTATATATATATATATATATATATATATATATATATATATATATATATATATATATATATATATATATATACATGTATATACATATATATTCATATATATACATATATATACATATATATATATATATATATATATATATATATATATATATATATATATATATATATATATATATATATATAAATATATATATATATATATATATATATATATATATAAATATATATATATATATATATATATATATATATATATATATATATATATATATATATATATATATATATATATATATATATATATATATATATATATATATATTATAGTCCCTGCATTTGAAGGAAGCTCCACATTACAAATGTGGCATGAAAAGAACCATAAATGGCTTGAAATTTCAGATGTTCATCGTGAGACAACAGAAAATATTCGGGTCACAGTAGCACCATTTTATATGGGATCAAGAGTATGTCAGGTTTTTTAATACAGTTTTTAATTATTGTTATTTTGTATGCAGTAATTGTTGTTATTTTGTATACAGTAATTTTTTTCTTATTTTAGCCTGATGTACAAAATGAGGAGTTTTGAGTATGAAAAGTATTTTATTTTTATTTTTTAGGTTGTCCAACAGAGTACAGGTTATTGGGTAAGATATAAACTTGTTTATCAGAGAAACATGTTTATATAAACTTTTTATTAGAGATACATGTATTATTAAAGATACATGTATATATATATTTTTGTCATATGTTTATATTAAATAAATGTTATTTATTATAACAATAAACTATTTTAGATTTATAAAAAATACTGTTTATATATTTTTTTAAATTAGATTTATTCAAATGATTTATATTAAAATTTTTATTAATGATTTTCAAATTATGAGAAAATTATTAGTTACTGTTTAAGACAGCTTTCAAAAATCTTTTTTGATAAAATTGTGCCGATATGCTGAAGTGTCTCAAATTTTTTTTTACGATTATTAGCAAAAATATTAAACATTTAGTTATAAAGATAAATAAATTTTTAGAAAATGCAACAATTTTATCTTATTTAGTGGCGTTACACAATTCGTCTGGAGAATCTTGGTAACGAATCAGTTCAGCTGCGTGAGCGTCACTGGCGTATATTTAGCTTCTCTGGTACTCTTGAAACTGTCCGCGGAAGAGGAGTTGTTGGACAAGAACCTTTATTGTCACCTGCCAATCCAGCATTTCAATACAGTAGTCATGTTTCTCTACAGTCTCCTAGTGGTCAGATGTGGTAAGTAGTTTTTAATATTAAAGTTTCCAGTGGGAAATTGGCTGGCTATAATCATAACAATAAAAACAACAATTTGGCCACGAGGATCACTAGCTTTTTTTAAATTAGAGAAAAGCTATTGATATCCTAAAAAAATGGAATCTGTTATTGTTAGATCAATAGTATCAAATGGCTATAAGAATCCAAGCATGGAATATATGCGTTGGTTTAGCACCATAATCTTTAATTAATGATCTTAGCTGGGTTAACATTGATAAATCTTTGAGAGTTAACAGAAGAATAGTCCTTCCTAACTTTAAAAGTTGGGAATTCAAGCCATTAACAAAATTGAAGCTAATCAATTGAAATAGCTACAAACTGATTACTATGTGTTTTTTTTGTTTTGTTTTTTGCGTAGCCCTATATTTTTTTTTTATTATTTATTTCTTCAATATTATAAAAATTTACAATAAAAATGTAAATTTAACTTGAAAACTGAAAGGGGATAATACCTAATAAAAGGTTCTTTTATATTTCCAAATTTTTACAGTAAATATATTTTCTTGAAAAAATGAAACAAAATTTTACAAATGACATTCAGCACAACCAATATTGTAACTTTTTGAATATTATAAGCACAAAAGAAGCTAATTAATTGAAAGATACAGGTTTGCTTTTAAGTGCAAAAATATTCAAGAACAAACAACTTTAAAAAAATAAAAAACAACTTTTGTACTTCAAAAAAAATATGGCTTCAAAATGTCACAATATTGGTTTTTCTGAATGTCATTTGTAAAATTTTGTTTCATTTTTTCAAGACAATATAACGACTGTAAAATATTGGGAATATGGAAGATACCTTTTAAAGGTTGAATTAAGTAAAATTGACATATAATTTCTTATAATTAGGACGCTAAAAAAATCATGCAGAATGTTATCATACAGAAAAACAACTATGTATGTATTAGATAGTTGTTTATCCACATTTAACAACTATGTATGTATTAGATAGTTGTTTATCCACATTTAACAACTATGTATGTATTAGATAGTTGTTTATCCACATTTAACAACTATGTATGTATTAGATAGTTGTTTATCCACATTTAACAACTATGTATGTATTAGATAGTTGTTTATCCACATTTAACAACTATGTATGTATTATATAGTTGTTTATCCACATTTAACAACTATGTATGTATTAGATAGTTGTTTATCCACATTTAACAACTATGTATGTATTAGATAGTTGTTTATCCACATTTAACAACTATTTATGTATTAGATAGTTGTTTATCCACATTTAACAAGAGGAATGTTTGTAGCAAAAATAAGGGCAAATTCTAACAGTTCTGAGCGAGATTTGGCACTAGAATGCAAAACTAGCATACAAATGGTTCAAATAAAAAAAGTATAATTATGGATAATGAAACTTATGTGAAATTAAATTTCAAAACGATTCCAGTACATCATTTTTATATGGGAGTCTCCAGGAAAAAGGTAAAGGCTAAATTTAAAACAATAAAACTAAAATAATTCCCCCAAAAAATTATGGTTTGGCTAGCCATATGTCAATGTGGATTCAAAACACAAAGTTTTTTCACTAATTCTATAATAAATAGTGAAATTTATCAACAACAAAAAAAGCCTTGAAAAGCGCTTATTGCCACTGTGGAATGCCCACAATGGTAATGCAATCTTTTGGCCTGACCTAGCGTCTTGTCATTACTCCAAATCCACATTAAACTTCTACAATATCAATAGTATCAATTTCATACCTAGAACACACAATCCTGCAAACCGTCCTGAACTTTGTCCAATTGAGCAATATTGGGCGCTTATTAAAGCCAAATTACGTAAAAAGTTTAGGCAAGCAAAATCAAGTACTGACTTAAAAAAGAATCCCAACTTTTATTAGATATTATCCCTTTTTTATGGTATAATAAAGGTTTTTTATAGTAAATTTTTATAATACTAAAGAAATAAAAAATAAAAAAATAATTAAATATAGGGCTACAAAAAAAAAAAACAAAAAAAAAACATAGTAATCAGTTTGTAGCAAATTCTAACACAATGAAATAAAACTATTTGCAAACAAAATATTGTATTTCACAATTAAATAATGTCACAAGAATGATATACAGTACAAGTAAATTTCTGCTAAACATATTGGTCGCAAGTTAAATGACACCAGTGTTCATAGGATTCACATATATCCCATTCATCATCAAACAATCATTAGGATCATTAGATAATTTCACATTACTAGCATTAAACTTTTTCAGTTTCATTAGTTTTTATTTAAAACAAATTTTTAAAAATTGAACTGCATCTTTAAAAAAGTGAACTTATTGCTACTTCTGTTCATTTATACTTTTTGAATTGTTTGTAACCCTGAACTAATATGTCAGGTGATACAGTTTTTGACACTTCCTTAAACTCTACCTGAATTCTATCAATAATTCTGCATTCCACTGAATCTATTTTGCTTCACTGTTAACAAATGGCAAAAATAAAGTAAAATAAAGTTTCCTTGTTAAATGGTCGAAACTGATTAAATAGCCTCAAGTTTCAGATATTTACTGTTACTACGGTGATCACAAATTACTGAAAATAATGTAAAATTAAAAAAAAACTATATAATAAATACCATAAAAATCATCAATTTTAATTAGGTTTATTTTTATGTTATTCCATATTTTATTATTTAGCATAAGTGTCCAATAATTATATATATTGAAATTATTAGTTTTAAAGATGGAAACTGTCAGGCCAAGATTTGTATAAAAAACAACTAACATGAACATTTTTTAATTTTTGATTCTAAAAAAAACAAAAAAAAATGATTTAGTTTATATACTTCTCAATGATTTAGTTTATGTACTTCTTGCTAATACATTTTTGAAACAATCTGGTTTGTTGGCACTGGAATTTGTAGATTATTATGAAAAATCAAAGTATAGATGTGAGGATTGAAAAGCCAGATTCTTGTTTCTTTACATCCTTTTTCTTTCAATGCCAGTTGTTGCTGATCAATCATACGCCTGCCCTTACAGTGCAGGAATTGTCTACCTGGGAAATTTACTTTCTAGTTATGGTATGCTTGACTGATGTATGTTTGGTATGGTGAAAAGAAAGTAACATCAAATGTTATATGACTGGCATGTGGTGGCAATATTAGCATTATGAATAAATGCTTTCTGCCTTATTCAGTTGCTAAAAATTTGATGAGTTAGTTATGGTTATCCACATTTAACAAAACTGTACCAGCAATTATTAGTTTTATGTTATATGCAAGGTATTTTAAATTAATTACACAAATTTCTTGTTGTCCTGTTGTTATGGACAACAGAGGAGAAGAGTTTAGAAAATCAATCTTCTTTATTTTTTCATGGAAAATAAAGAAAAAGCTCTATAAAGATATATAAGTGATATATAAAGCGTATAAAGGTATATAAATTCCAAAGCATTCATGCTGCAGACTAAATTTTTTTCTCTTTGACAACTTGTTTGATGCCTTTGACAGAAAATAATTTTGGTATTTTTATTGGTTATTACCCCAATTTCATCAACAATAAAAGTTCTTGAAGGTTAAAATTTGAAGATAAAAATCAAAAAGTATTGCTGTCATTTCAGTAATTTGCTTTAATATTTTGTTATGATGTTTGAAAAATCCATTTAACCAATTAAGACCAGCAGTTTTTAAACTCTTGTTAAAATCATAGAGTATTATTAAATTCTGCAAATTCAAATGTAAATTTCCTGAGCATCACTAAATGATGACCAAAAATTATTTTCCTTAACTCAATTAAATAATCCAATTTTTTCATGTGTTTCACTGAGAACACTGGACAAAACCTTCCTTTGCTAATCTGAAGCTTTTCAAAAAAATTTAAAGGTAACGTCTCAGTATTGATTCTGGAACTCTAAAATTTACAGAAGCTTGTTTTTTACTGTGAGCATTGGAATTGTATGCTTCAGTAACTAGGAAAATATTTTGCTTTGTCCAATTTCCATTGTCACCTCTTCTTGTAGTTCTGATGTAGTTGTGAACCTTTTTAATAACTAAAAATAATATAATAGTATACTATGATATTTTTAGTGCAACCCTCGGAATTAGAAAAAATGAGGTTGGCAATAATTTATTGACCTCAATCTTGTTAAGGTTGGCATCAGGTTGGCAAAAATTAATTGGTACAAAGGTCTGACCATAAAACATAGAAATGAGGTCGGCAATTTTTTGCCAACCTCAAACACTTTCAGGTCAGCAGTTAAGTGCTGACCCTAATTCCAAAGGTTGTTAATGTATACAAACAACATTCAATACATATAACATATTAAAAAATTTAAAACTTTTAAACAAAATAATTTTGCAGCTCATTAAGTTTTAGTGTTTTTAGAAGAACTACAATAACAATGACTGGAAAGTTTTTTTAATTATTAGTGTTTTTTTTTTGTTTTTTTTTTTTTGTAGTTTTATAATATATAGGTATTAAAATATATATATAAATATATATATTTTATATATATTTTTATAGTTTTATAATATAGTTTTATAATTTTAAAATGTGCGATGAGCGTTGCTACATTGGCTGACAAATAGGTAAAACCTGCGAGGATTGTTGCTTTTTTACTGTGAAACAACCTGGTATTATGTAACCCAGTACTACCTGCCCTATGGCCTGCTGCCTTGTAAGGTATGCCTTTTTAGGCAAATGCTTAGAGAAACCAATTCCAACCTAAAAATCCCCTACCTTTAGGCTCTTGGTTGAGTAAATGCTAGAGATAGTGTCTCTATAAAAATATTCATCTTAGGCAAATTTTACCTGCATCCAGCTAAAATTCCCCTGCCTTGGGGCTCTTGGTTGAGTAAAGGCTAAAGATTGTGTCTTGATTAAAAGGCTAATCTTGGGCAGAAGTTACTTGCATTCAGCTAAATTCCCTTCCCCCTGGGGCTTTTCTTTGAGTAAAGGCTAGAGATGGTGTCTCAATAAAAATACTAATCTTGGGCAAATGTT